ACACACACACACACAGACAGAGGTAGCCCTGTGCAAGGTGAAGCAGAGGTGCCAAGAACCGGCTGCGTGCCTCACAACTCCGCTGTACAGCTTGCCCATCATTTGGTAGTTGATCCTTAGTTCAGGGTGCATGAATGAGAAAAGTCTCACAAAAGTCCATGATTTGCACAACGAGAGTTGCTGATTGACAATCTTGCGCCGCACATTGCCACATTTTGCCGTGGTCGAACAGTGCCGGTGAGGTGTGAAGCAGCGAAGCATCTGAGAAGCCGTCTGGTCTGAACAATTAAAAACGACACATTGTCGAGCGAGACCCTTGGCCAGATCCTGAGGCAAAGAACTCAAAGCCACAGCTTGCAAGACCTTGGACGTGCTCGAAAGCTTTCCGTCCTTGGTGGACTCCGTCTTTCCTGTACCAGCAGGGCCTGCCGGAGCAGCACCCAGCTTGATGTGCAGCGCCTCGCAAAGAAAGAACAGGGAATGCTGCACTGCATTATTCAAACTTCTTTCGTGTCGAAAACTGATACACCGGGACTCCAACTCCCGTGATAGTCATCCAGCATCGATCCGTCAGTGGGGTGATGACCAGACGTGACAATGCACCTGCGAACTCACACGGCTGACTTTGCTAGGCACTCAACTGTACTGTGGTTTGCATTGAATCGCGGCCGCGGCTCCCATGTACTCATGACCATACAGGATGAAGGCATCCACCTCCGGCAGACAAGTTGGATCAGATTGGCCTACGCCTGTTGTCACGACCAACACTGCCCTGAGCGTTGACTTTTGCCTGGCGAATGCAGCAGTCGCCGTGGCCACCATCCAACTCTGGATCCCAATAGTACCTCGACGAGGGCTTCATTACATCGCGGAGTGCGGCTCTCCACTGGAAGCAGAGACCAAAAAATGGTCCTCGATGAATGACGATGACACAACAGTTCACGAGAGCACAAGCGAGATGGGCACCGCAGCTGCTGCTGCCACTTGAAGTTCTGGAAGCTTGTGATCTTGTTGTCGAAGAGATCCTGAAGGATGGATCCAAAGTTCAGTGAAGGCCCAAGCTCTGCGGCCATCAGAGTCTTTGGTCTTTCGGCAGAAGCATCCTGGATGATATCGCGGTTGTGCACATCCTGGATCAAGACATCAAAGCAAGCCGACAGTCGCGTTGGGCTTCAGGCCCCTTTCTGCCATCCATTGCCGAGGAATTCCAGGGATGCCGGGGATGCCCTTCATTCTGCTGCTTGCCTAGATAATCGAAGTGGGTGGGATCTTGTCACAGCTAAAGAAACAACGAGAAGATCGTCCTGCGTGACAAGTGCAACGACTCCCTTCCGCTGCAGCTTATCCAGCTTGTCGCGAATCAGTTCCTTGCACTAAGCACTGCACTGTCGATGTGCACGCGAGACACAATTATCGTGCCCTGCGTTGCTGGTCACAGCAGAGCCAGCACATAAACACATATGCAGGTGCAGCAACAGCAAGATCTACGGCATCCTCAAGACGCACGGGTGTACACGACCAAAGGCAGCAGTCGAGATTCCGTAAGACCCCCAAGCTGGGCTTTGTTCTTCTGGAACCACTTGCCCATCATGATGACCTGATGTGCTCAACTAGGACCTAGCGCACTGAAAAATCAAACTTGCGCATCTGAGCACAGCAGTACACGGCATTGGCGACGCCTTGTTGCCCTCTGTGGCATTTAGCACCTCCTCTGTCTCCAGTGTCCAGTAGATCGAGCCCACGGTGATCATTACCTGACGCGTACTGGAATCAATCAGAATCTGCAGAAGCTCCGTTTAGAGCTCTGTACATCCCCTATCCTAGTCCCAGTCATGCAAGGGGAAGCGTGAGACAGGCCTGGCAGTACTGCTTCCGAACCCACTCCTTGCGATCCGACTCGAGCGCATAGGTCTCCCAGCCTGCTACAACCACATTCAAGCACCAAACTCGCCGAGCCCCGACGGCTTGAGACCTTCTCGGAAATTGCCCGGCCTTTCTTCACTTCTGCCCTGCAGGTCTTCACCATGTATTCCTCCACACCGCCTTCTGCACTGAGCCATTTTTCGACGCCATTTCTGGCCTGATCAGTGCTGCTGCCGAGGCCCAAACACGGCTTCGGTTGACATCATGTTGCTGGAGATGTTTAATAACTTAATAACCCAATGAGCCCCCAATGATGACCACAGACAGAACGGGAAAGGCCATCAGCGTTCTAATGTTGTCTGGTCGTTGGGCCAACCCTACGTTCCCAACACTGTCAATGCTGACGCACAGCTTTCGTGCCTTCAGCATCTTGAAAAAAGGAATCTCTTCACCTTCTCCCGAGATCATTGCATGGATGTCCGTGGAGTTGGAGCCGTCCCCAAACCTGCGAAGTCAAACGAATCGCGCCACTGTGCTTCTCTCGCCACGGCAGGATTGGAGGACTCTAACATTCTCAATCTGTGGAAATAAACGAAGCCACGCTCAGCTCAAGATTTTGTGGAGCCAGGGCCCCGCAAGATCGAGGAAAAAACGCATCCGTCATGCTCTACTCTTCTGTTCAATCTGGATCCTCAGTCATTCTGCCCGTGTTTCTGTCATTCTCAATATTCTCACTCGACTCCTCCGTTTGGCGCCTGAGCTTGACCAGATTGTCGAAGCACTTGCGCAGGTGTGGCTGAACAGCCTGGCCATGTACCACTCCCCGTAATCAAGGGGGAGGGGGAAGCAGACAAAAAGACTTAGTAACCTAATGCTGCCGGCGAACTATGAAGCACAGGCCGCAAAGTCTACATACAAGGGCTTGCTTGGAGATGAAAGCACATGTCCAAGGGCCCTGATGCAAACCTCAAGTTGTGGACCGCGAGCTGAGAAAAATGCTACAGAATGTTACGACAAAACCCTCAACTCCTCTGCGCTGAGTACTGCTAACAGGCAGACGGTCGAGGCTCACTTCTGTTCGCCTCGACATGCTCGACAATGCTGGCGTTTCTGTCTGCGAACGAATGGGTTGGAGCAACAGAACAGTTTTCAACGGCGCGCTCGAACAAACCGATGTTCAGACTGTAAATCGTCAGGGTGGGTGAGGCGGGACTGGAAAAGCTGCTGCCCGCACCGGCAAACTCGAGAGGCAACATCGTCGAACGGGTTTTGTCACTTGATGCACACGTGCACAACCAAACAAAACCCTAAACTCCTCTGTACTGCTAACAAGCAAACGGTCGATGCTCACTTCTTTTCGCCTCGACCTGCTCGACTGTGCTGGCGTTTCCGTCTGCGAACTCGAACAAGCCACCCACCGCGCGCCATTGCCCCATCTCGGAGTGCGGTGGCTTAGAGACGTGTTCTTTGACATGCTCGGCAGCCGTATTATCGACGAAATACACGATGCACTAGAACTGGTCGCACGTCACGACTGCGATCCAGATCACCTGAGCGATTGCCTCGAGCCAGTAGATGTAATCTCTGGACGAACAACAATGTCATAGTACGCTTTCCGGCACTTGCGCACGAAAGCTCCATCGTTGAACTGACGGGCCGAAGTAGATGGCGCCCCATCCGTTGGTGGACGAACGCAGCTGTGGCAGGGCCGTGCTTTCATCCATCCACCTGTTGGCACATCTCCGATCGCAATGCATGGTGATGAAGCGTCGGCGTATAGACTTGCAATCCGCATGTTCACCGACCTGGAGACACTTGGTAGGAACCTTGGCTTAAGCGACGGTAGCAACTCGACCAGAAGTCGGAAACTGGCCTTCAAAGCTGGGTGCAACTCGACTTCTGCTGACGAACTGGAATGCTGTCTGCGGTGAAGCGGTTTCAGCAGCGCTTGACCTACCCTCCCGAAGACCCAAGAGCAAACGAACGTCAGCTTTCTTGCAAGTTTGGACGCCCAAGGGCCCAAGGAGTACCTTTCTGCAAGCATTCAGTCAACGAAGAAACCAACTTTGACACTCACTCAGGTCCTGGACTGTCCACACTCCATCGGGCACCAGCGTCCAAAGGACGCGGGGTAACGTATGTGACCTGGCTGGTTTCTTCTCCTTGGGCTCCTTTACGAAATCCCAGGCATGTGTGGAAACGTTTGAAGCACGAAAAATCTGCGGGGGCCAATTCTTCGTCTTCGGATTGGTACAAATCATAAACGAAGTGTGCTGACGGGACGAGCAACAAGCTCACGGCAAGGAACGACAGGACGTCTGCTACCCGGAGGTACGACCACACGCTCCCCGTGCTGCCACACGGGAGACTGCGTTGTGATTGAAGAGCGCCTAGTGTCCATCGACTGGCAAAATACACACTCGGACGGGTCTCTGACGGGCAAGGAGCGATATGCCCCTGAGTGATCGACTGCACTCAGCAAGGTCCGCTGTGGATCCTCAGCCGACTGAACGCAACTGGCCTGACTGCATCACTGGGAATGCACGGGATGCACACGCGGATGTATCGTGCAACAATATCTGACTGACAGGAAAAGGTCCGCTAACGCGCCCGAGTTCACACTCTTCGAGTATCTCCTCGAACATGGTGGCAGAATGTTCACCGGGTCTGAGACTCGACACCACGGACTTGGCGTGCTCTCTATTCGCCACTTTGAACTCGGACGTGCTGAGCGGCTTGGAGAACTTAGAGTCCGACCTCGGGGCCCAGCTTGTGCCTGGAGCCTGCGGCCCCAACAAAGGCCATGATCAGTTTGCGTTGAGCGGGAAACTGAAGCAAGGCCAAAATCCAAGTCAAAACCAAAAGCTGTACCTGGAGCTGATCCTGCCACTGAGCCCACCAGCCGACTCTCATAGCGACCGGGTTCTGCACGAACGGGGGCCGCTTGCCAGACGCCGTCTAGCCTTTGCCGCCGGGCCTGACGTCGTCACCTGGACCACCTTGTGGCTGCCGGCTGGGCTCCACCGAACTGGACGCGTGCTGGTACTGGCGGAGGCGGAACAAAGAGTTCGGATTGGTCCCATCGGACGGGGCGGACACTCGGCCAGCCGGTGACCTGGACCTTCAACACGTGCGGGGTCACTGGCTGACTGGCCCTTCTTAGCGGCCATCCTGGACACCGGCTGCTGCTTGGTGGCGATGCGCCGGGCCCACTGTCGGAGCCTTCGCCGGACGCTATTTACTGACGGGGTATCGGAGATGCTCTCATTCGAGTCACCCCCACTGCCTGGGCTGGCACTTCGCCAGAGCTTCAACCAGGCGACCAGGGCCTGTGCTCCCGGCACTCAAGGTCGAAAGCATAGTGGCCCTCTGCGACGGACTGGGCCATCATCGCGATCGGGACTTCAGCAGCATCTCCTCCAGACAGTTCATCAAGAGGTCCTCATGAGCGTCGACCAGGACCCTCAAGGCTACCCGAATCACGGCCGAAGACGGGCTCCGTAGTCTCGCCTCCCGGAGCGGAAGGATCTAGGTTCACGGCCGGACGAGCATCGCCCCAACTGTGCTCGTCGACCGGGCCGCTCCCTGCACCAGCCATGGCTTCGCTGGAGGCTAACTTAAAAAACCTGCTGCCCGCACCGGCAAACTCGAGAGGTAACATCGTCGAACGGGCTTTGTCACTTGATGCAAAAGTGCACAACCACACAGTTCAAAGACCTTACCCGAACCGCGTTACTTGCTGGAAGTTGCATGCTGCAAGCAACCCCTGACTTGCAGAAGGCCTGCGGGCGTTTCGCCTGAGACAAGATCTCAAGCAGCTCATCCTTAGTCGCCAAGGTGACCGATGGCCTGGACTTCTTTAATCACATCTCCTGCTTGTCAACTGAGGCTTCGGTGGACCGTCTGGCATAGCGACATACAAGTGCACTGCTAAGCTTCAGGACGACAGAAGCAGCTTCCTGCGAGGCTCGACATGAATGCAGCTTCGTCTGAGGATGCCGCATTGGACAAGAAAAAGAATCGAGGGAAGGCGACGCATTTGGACAGGAGGTAGTCCTCCAAGCTTGCAATTCTTCTATCCCTTGCATCTGTGGTTCTTCGAATTTTCCCAGCGCTCCATCAAATCTGGAAATACCTCACGTGAACGAGCCTCCAGCTGCTTCTGGATTTGGTCCAGTGTCTCGCTCGCTTTCTGGCAGACGGAGATTCAAGGACACTGACAGCTGACGTCAGGTCAGAAGAGCCTCAACACGCCTCTCTAGTCAAACCCGACAGAGGTGCGGGCCTTGAACAGGTCCAGACGTCCCGGCTTTGTCGCAGCCTTCAGTGCCACGGCGTACTCATACGTCTCCTGCAGTAGAGGCTGCTTGAAGCCGCGCATCCAGAATCACGAGCATCATTGGGTCGTCGTTTCTCCCCCTAGGCGCATCTTCTGCTGCAGTTCTTCTCGAAGCCGTAAGGGAAGATTCCCAGTCCCTTGCCAAATCGGCTGGCCTGCAGACCCTAAACACCCTAAAGCTCGCTCCCAAGGGCTAAGTTTCGGAGCTCTTGGGGCCAGCATGGCGAGTTCATCCGAGCAAGTCCTTCATGATCGCCCTCCACTGCCCATCCTCGGTTGGCAAAACCCGCCTTCGACCACGATCTGACTTAGACTGCGATCTGTTGCATCGCGGGAGGGGACAAAGGCCGGGAAAGGTGACTGGCTACCAGCCAGTCAATCTGCACTCTATGACACTATGGCGGGGTCTGTCTCGCAAGCACATGGGTCCATACTTTAAACACGGCAATCATAAATCAAGTCCATGTCATCCGAAGCTTACACAATCCTCCTACTTGATCCCGAAACGGACGAATGTGTAGCCAAAGCGGCGATCTCTTGGAACTTGGCGGACTCGGCCGGCAGCTGCTTCTTGATGTCTCCTGCGTTGAAGATAGACCTTAGATGCGAATCTCTTGGCCTGGCCTTGCATTGAACCCTTTTTGTCACACCTTTCGGCTCCTTGGCTGTGTCAACTTTGCATGTCTATACCACACTCTTGGAGCCAAGGTGCTCCAGGTACATCCAATTCCGCTGAACGTTGAGCCACTCATCCAGCGTCTCCTGCACATGCGGCGCACACGCATGGAAGTTGATCGACCAATCACTGTTGGTCTTCTGCAATCTTACAGCTGAATGCCATGCTCCAGCCTGCTATATTAAGACCGCATGCGAGTGATCAACAATGGATGCTACCATGCATGCTTTTGGAAGGCTACTATTACCCAATCCTTCGCACAGAGGCGGCGCCGTTTTTTGAGGGTACACACTCCAGTGTGGGTACAGTATATGATTGTCGGACAAGATGAATTGTGCCAAACCTGAGTGACCGCCGGTGCCCATGGACGAGGGCAGTATACACACACACACACGCGCATGCACACACTCTCGTGCAGATTCCTACCGAAGGTTCGCGCGACCGGTCGTCTGCACAAGCTTATGCGGCCATCCTGGAACAGCAGGAGGTCTTTCTGCCACTGCTCCACCTGCTACCAGCCGAGAAACTCTCTCACTAATCAGTTTGTGCCTGTGAACCGAGCACAAGTTGTCTCAAGTGTGTAGGCTGCCACTTGTGACGTTTTCAAGGCCTCTCCACGAATGGGCCCGACGTATCGGCTGCCAGCCTCATGCCCGATATCAAATCGTTTTTGCGACTCAGACCCTGCTCTACACCACCACTTGTCCAAAGCTTGCTGGCAAGCTTCGATAGTGGATATGGTGACCAGGGAGTCTTCGAGAGCCACTGTGATATCTTCAACGGATCCAAGAACGAAGACATCCTTGCTGTCCTGAAGCATGCAGTGCTTGACAAAGCCCGCATCACTAGTCATAGCCTCCGCACAAGGAAATTATAAGGTCATCAGGTCATCTTTCTACTTGACTGCTGATCACTCTCCTTGTATGGATTAATAACCAACTCCAGGTCATCCCACGTCCTCGGCGCCACGAAAACAGGACTTGGACATGAAATGCTCTTATCTGAGGCGAAAACTTCTTGACCTTGTCCAACATCTCCTCCAAACCTTGTTCCGCGGTGGCCTGCCACTTCAAGCAAAGCATCCTGTGTCACTGCACCGTAACTCCGTCATTGCACCGAAAAGAGCAACGACGTCTCATCCAAAGAACAGCCGTGCATGAAGATGTCTTTGGAATCACTGCAAACACACTGCCAGTGGCAACACACCGCGGAAAAGCTCGTAACAAAGGGAGGTGTTTGAAGGCCCTGCGCGAGCTGTTCCATTACAGACAGTATATGTGCCCATGCATCAACAAACGAACCGCTATTTTACAAAATGAGGCCTGCATAGACATCAAGCAATGATCCTTGCTTCAAAAGTGCTTGCTGGAGGCCTCCACCCTTGTCACTCGTGTCTGGGATTGGGGCCCCAAGTTCAACAGTCCCGTGACATGTTTGAATCATCCTCGTGCCTTTGAAACTACCGAGAAAAAAGCCTTCAGCGGAACATAGCTACCAGCACGCCGTTGCACAACTTTGCGTGAGGTGACTGGGAAGCGCTGGACGAATGGGACACATAATCGCAAACGCACAGCAACGAATTCAAACCGACGTGCCTGACCCTGCCTTCAACATCCCTCAACGGCACCCTGAAAACAAAGAGGCTCGCTCAACAGAGCCGTTCAAAAAAGATCCAACTGAACTGTGACTGGAGATCGTCGCTGAAGTTGTTCAATGGTAGTAACGATGGCGCACAGTCCGCGGCATGAATTGCACTTGAGCACATCTCGGCTTGCTTTGCATTGCGGGGTTTCGGATTCAGAGCCGCAGTTCCTGGCCCAACCAACATCACCACCAAGTTCTGAAACCAAAAGCGTAGTGAAATGTTTGGCTTCAATAAGTGTGAATGAGCACCGTGAAATGACTGAAAGCAAAAGGGCTCTCCGAACCCGGCAAAGTCAGAGTCAGAACCGTTGCACACACAATGAGATCGATGTGGGTTGCCTCGTTGCCAAGCTGCAACACATGTTCAAGGAATCGCGGAGACAAAGTCTTCGGCCGATGTATCGCTGCGTGTTTGCTGAAATACCCAATTTGGGGCAGCATAAGGGGTTATCGCGTGTCCGTTCAGTGGCTGCCTTGCCAGACACGTCCAGAATTGCTTCCATGTGCTGATCCACTCCTGAGAACCCGATTCCAACGCACATCTGGACAGAGAGCATGACTGTCTCGGCCAGCTGCCCATGGCCAAGAGGCCGCCCAGAGTGAACCTAAGTTACTCTCGTAGCTGGCAGTTATCCTCAAAGCTGTGCATAGCTGTGGGACTTGAGTCCACTTTGGTCCTGGCTCCTCGTCCTCGAGCTCCAGCTCTTGGCCTTGGTGGAGCAACCCGAAAGACAATCACTTCCAACTCGCAAGAAAGAGCGCTCTCTTCCAAAGTCGCACCGGTGCGTTGTACGCTTTGCAGTTGCTCTTACTCTCAGGTGCTTACCAATCATGGAGGTGATCATCTCCCAATGCCGCGGCCTTGAATATAGCGGTTCGAACTTAACTTCAGCGATAAGACTCGGCAAATTCATGATAAAGGCAAGAGGTTGCCGGACTTTGGTAGCTTTGAGCAGCCATCGAGGCCACAGCTTTAGCGCTTTGTTTCTCAGCGCCACGACCACAGGAAGCGTGTTTTTGAACCTGAAGAGACCCAGCTTTCACGCCGCGTCCACAACATGAGCGCGTGGCACAGATCCTATCTAAAGAGCACTCAAGAGTGCCGGGCTGTGTGACTGACTCGCCCCAAATCTGCGGCACCTGGAAAGGATGTGCAAACGAGGCTAATGCTGGGAGATCACCTCTGGAGCTGTGAAGCCGCGCCTGGTTGTCGGGCATTGCTTTGACGGACTGGACAGCGACCTGCTCAGCTTGCAAATTCGGACGTGCTCCGATTTCTGCGGCACGGCCTTGTTGTACTCAGCAACCTTCTTCTGAATGGATTCCACATCAACCGTCCCGAAAGAGCAGTTGTTCCACTCGGAGCTGAGCCTCAATGCAGATTTGCAGCGGACGGCGGTCAAACACGCAACTCCACGCAAGTACTCACTGACTTAGTAACTTAGTAGGAAGCGCAAGCGGCTAAGTGCTAAGCTCCTCCCATGCATCGATGCCTCGCCACAACCTGAAGAGCTGAGAGGTCTGCCGTGGTTGGAAGCCTCTTCAAGCTTGCTTTCGTCAAGGCTGCGCCTCGCAAACCCGAACCCTGCTCCTGTCTTAGCCTTCGTTTCAACTCTGAAAACCTCAGTCTCAATCATGAGGCAGATGTTGAGCACACGGCTTGTTTCGAATCTGGAAAGAAGCCTGCATTCAAAGCATCAAAGCAATCGGTGCTTTTGCTTGCAGAAATCGCCTTCAGCTCTTCCACATCTTCAAAAGCTGTCGGCCTGCGAAGTGTGGACACGGCTGGTTCAGCAACAGACAGTCACGACTGGAGTCTCTCAGCCCAGCACTCGAGCTTGAGGACGTCTTGGTAGCGGTTGAACTTCGCCGCTTCTTCAACGGATTGATTGACATCTTGGATCGAGATGCACTTTCGAAAGTGTCTCAGAAAGCCGTTCGTTGAGGCATCTGGTATCCAAAATCTGGTCCCCTGCTGACTGGGGATCCAGCGATCTTGCAGCTCGTCCAGGAAAGCGAGCACTTCCTCTCATGGAACTGGCTGCTCCAGGCAAATGCGTCATTGGAAAGGACTGGCACCTTGCGGCTTTCAGCCGACATTTTGGAGGTGTCAGACAGATCGGGTGCATCCAATCTAGACTGCCTCAGGAAAAAACCAGGTGTGCTGAACAACAACCCAAGCATTCACTCCCAAGCATGGCACTGCTCGCCGACACTTTTGCGAAGTTCTGGAATTTCCACCTCCAGGGCCTGAGGGAAGCAAGTCGTGAGCATTCTGACTGAGCAGTTTATCGCCGATTCACAGGCCTTGCTGAAGTGCGCCACGTCAACCTCCGCCCGCTCCTTTCCACTTGAGACCTGGCAAGCCCATGCTGGGAAGTCTTCCCTTGTCCTGCCCACAGCCTCCCCTGCGCAAAGACCATCACTGGATCGGCCTGTGCCATGAGCTGGTTCTTGGCGGAGGCAAGGTCGTTGAAAGCCTCCGAATCCAGAGCTCAGGCTTTCCAAGAACGCGAACTTGGTCGAAGGGCAGCAACCCCACACGAACTTTATCGCTTGAAACGGCCAACGCTCGAAATCCGATGATGCCAGATGGGGCTGCAGCACATCTCCGAGCTGCCCGCCTTGCGTGTCTCACTGTCGATTCGAATGCCGAACCTGAGATCTGCAGCACGAAGCTACCCAGTCCGAGTTCCCACGGACTATGAACCTGTTTGCACACGGTTAGTGGTTAGGCAAATTGCGTCAGCTCTAGCACCGTCTCCGACTCTGGTAAGCATGTGCGCAAACCCATTTAAATTGCGCGCAGGCCTGGGGCTTCTTACCAGAGCCTGTACTTGCCGAGCCATGTCCTTTGGCAGTGCATATAACTAAGAGCGGAGCTCTCGAATGATCTCCGCCATCTCTTGAACCTTTCGAAGTCCCAGGTGGTACTCCGCAGGTTGTTTCAGGACAGGAACCCGGCCTCGAGGAATCGCTTTTCCAAGGATGGCAGCGATGCGTCGATCTTGGCCAGATGTACATTGAACCTCTGCACAAAAATGGATGGAGAGACGAAAAGTCAGCCTCTACCCTATGTTCCTATGCGCCCGACTCGACATACTCGTCCACGTTGTTAGGGTACTCCTTCAGCCTATCATTGGCAGCCTGCCAGAGGCGCAGACGCTCGCCGGTCCCCAAAACGCGCTCAGGTCTCTGAGATTCACCTGGATTTCGGCGCTCAACTCGGCTCTTCTCGTCATAGCCAGCTCAGGGATGTACCTAGGCAGAGCTTGTAGCCCGCTGGAGCAGTCGCAAACGACAGGGAAGCGGAGCCGCCGAGTCAGGCGGGCACTGAGCCAGCAGATCGAAGCAGCCTGTTGGCGACGGCCTGCCGAAAGAGGTGCTACGTTCCGACTGACTCGAGTCAGAGGCTGCGCAGAGCGGAGTACTTCATAAATTGGTGCTAATGGTTGGCCGTGGGTCCACATCGGATGATCTCCCAAAAGCATAAACTGAGGATGTGACAACAGCATCCGCTGCATCTCTTGACAGTCAAGGCGGAAGATGCCGATGTCCTGACACTTTGTCCGAGGGCTTCGACAAGCGAAGGATCCACAAGAAGCAGTGGCTGCTGGTAGTGGCCTTCGTTCGCCCCATACTGCGGATGTCCTGCCAAGTGTTCCAAAGCACTTGCTCAACTTGGGTCTTGATGTAGCACATATATACAAATCCTGCCTCCTTCTGCTTCTGGTACTTTGCCAGCGCGTCTCCTGGGCGTCCATGAGATTCCTAGAGGACGCGCCTTCGGCTCGGTGGCGGACGGAAGTCGTCAAGTGACGCATCGGCAAAAGTGACCTGGCCGAGCAACTGCGCGTCGATCAATGGAGCTTTCCAGGTGCTAAGCGTCGGGCACTACAGTCCGTGAGCTCGGAGTTCTCTGCATAGATTTGCACAAACCTGAAAAAACAAGAAGCGTCCAGTCCATCTCCAGCCTAGCGAGCGCACAGACACATCTATGCCAAGGAACTCCTCGAAACGACTCGCGTAGGTCACAACCTGCAGCACAGAACGTTCATGCTGTCGCGGTGATTGAAGGACGAGAATGCGAGCGAACGCGAGAGAGAGAGAGAGAGAGAGAGAGAGAGAGAGGGCCTTGTCAAAGAGCCAGTCATAGCGATGAGTGATGTTGGTCATCAGCTCCTGTCTTGTCATGTCTTGGAACCTCAACCTTAACAGCCCACATCACAAACCCAAGATCCTTGTGCTTTGGGTCTTGTGCGACTAAGCTGAAGAGATCCTGCTGCTGCTCCTGGAAGAATCGGCAAAATGACAGCGAATGCGGACAGAGTTGGGACGCGGAAGCAGGAAGCGCGGTTCCTCCAAAGGCAGAGCATCCCCCAGCTCTGCCAAGGGAGCTGTGAAGGGTGTGAAATCCTCCACCTGCCCAGGTGTGCAGTGAGCAGAAACCTCCTTTGAGCACCTTCCACACCTCCCTAGGTGCAGCCCGAGGTCGGTTTTTTCTAATCTCAGGAGCCTTCGAACATCTTCGTGCTCTCAGGAGCTAGGCGCCCACTCGGGCTCATAGTCTGCCAGCAAGCGATCCGGATGAAAGGGTGCGATGTCCACTGAAGTGGCCTTTCCATCCAAAATCAGCTCGGACATGCCCAGTCCACTTGCGAGGCTGTTGAGAATCCCCCAGCACCCATGTCCAACGCAAACATACCCACCCTGAATCGAAGGCAGCGGGCCCATTGCTGGAAGGCTGTCTGCAGTGAAAGGCAAATAGCACGACTGCTTCGTCGTAAGTTTAGCGGACTGCATCTCGGCCGAAACCTTGCGCACCGTGGTTGTGAGCCTCTCGCAGACATCCTCTCTCACCTGGACGTTTCCTGGGGTTTCAGACACCACAGTCGGGGGGTCTGGGAAACCTGTGATGTAGTTCTCCCCGTCGCCACGGGGATAGACCTCCGGATTTCCCATACCATTGAAGAACACGGCCTCTGAGAGCACTCGCTCACTCTGCAGTAGCACACTGTGATACTTGACACCGTAAACCTGGAACTGCGGATGCATCAGGCGGAGCACTTGGGCCCAGGGACCCATGCAGCAAACCACCGTGTCTGCCAACACGTCTTCTCCATTGACCATTGCCCCTCTGATACGCTTCTCATCACCTGCATCTTCGGTCAACACCTCGTTGACTGTACCCAAAAGGAACTCAGACCCGACCTTCTCTTGACAAGCCTTCCACATGGCTTCAGTCAAATCTTTTGGATGCACCTGTGCAATGGTCGACTCGTCGCCCATGAAGCGCTCACTTTGGGCCCCAGAATCCACCCACTCCAGGGATGCCAGCTTGCGGGATGCCGGTTTTGAGAAATCACCACCAACAGTCACAGCCTTGCACCGGAGTCGTCGGTAGGATTTTAGGCCTAGCTCCTGGGCTACTGCTGCATGCATATCAAAGCTTTTCCTTGTGAGATCGCGAAGAGGTGTCCCATCGTTCCAGTCTCTGGCCAGGAAGCCACCTGCCTTCCCACTCGCACAGCTGGCAATCCCGGCATGATCCACAACAGTCACACGCCGTCCCCGCAAGGCTAGATGGTATGCGACGGATATTCCGATGACGCCACCGCCAAGAATAAGAATGCGATCCTTCTCAGGCTCACTTGACTTCCGAAGCACACGCGAAGTGCAGCCTCCCCGAGCTCGTATAGGACTCCAGGAGCCGCCTTTCGCCGGAAATAGCCACGAAGGGGCAAGAGCCACGGCACATGGTGCACCCGTCAAGAACCACATTCTGCTACGCACACGAGAAGAAAGTTGTCAACTCAGCGTGCCATGAACAGTTGCTGCTGCTGCTGCTGCTGCTGCTGCTGCTACAGCTGCTGAGCAGCCGGTGGTTTTATCTGTGCTGAGGACATGGATGACCAACTTGAACCCAAGGCAAGCTGCTGACATTTTTCGGAATACTGGGCTACCCTCCGTAAGTATTAAATCACATCCTCCGATGGCCGTTGAAACCCCTGCCTGTAGGAATGCATGGCAGCCAGACACTGCTCGCAAAGCATCCCGCAGAGCACTCCTTGGTGGTTACTCTTCGAATGCCTACAAACGAATGAGTTTCAATCCAATCCAATGTCGACAAAATGAGAACGGATTCACAAAACCGACAGAGAAGTTCAAAGCGCAGGAACCCACGATGGAGTGTTTGTGGAAGGGGCAAGCGGAACATGTAAGGTCAGAAGTGCACTCTACTTTTCTGAACCCTGTGCGTGCCAGAACTGTGGTCAGCCCCTCTCTTCGTGCCCAAGCCGTACAAGCCATAACTAAGTGGCGCTAGGCCCGCGGCTCCACGGCATCCCAGATTCTCTTTCCGGAGGGCTTGAAGACCAGGGCGCCGTGCTCCAGGAGACACTCAACGTTGAAGTTGGGCTTCCTCCACGGAACATTTGCTCGAATATGTTCCACACATTCCTTGAGCCCATTCAAAAAAAGCCCGCCTTCCGCCCTTGGACTCTTCCTTCTTTTCCTGAAGCAGAAGGGGTCAGAAAGAGCGAAGGGCACGGGGGGTTTTGGCTATGGGAGCCGGCCTCGGAAGGCTTCTCGCCTTCCCCTTCCGTAATGGCTAACGCCTCAGCCGGGGGCCATTAAAAACGGGGGGAGACCTGCTTCGCATGTCAAGCTGGGCTTCCTGCGGCGGCCTCTTGCGCATCCACGTCCTCCACGAAGGCCTTTCGACTTCAACTGCAAAAATCTGGCACTATCAGAGCTTCAGGAAGCCAAGCGGCATCGAGCAGCTCTTGAAACTTCGTCGTTGTGGTACGCACCACCATTTGTGACTCAGTGCCAGCGCGGCAATCTAACCCCCCGAGCTGGACGACTCAATTCCATCTATCTCTCGGGGCCGGACGACTGCATCATTGAAGAGAAACTGCACCATGCGAATAAACCTGAACGAGACGGGACACAAAGGCCCGAATCCGTCGCTGAAGTAGCGAAGAAAGCATGCTCGTGGTCATCAATGGTAAGACTCGGGAGCGGACTTCGTCAGCTTTCTGCACTGCGTTCGGGTTGTGGCCCGTTCGGTGTAGGACATGCCTCCACCGTCCTTTCGAGATAAGGCATGCAAAACACTCTTTCTGGGAATTCCGTCACCCTGAGGCCGTCCTGGTCTCCTTCGTCGCCTTCCTGATACACCACAACAGAGACGGACATCCTTCCTTCACTGCCCTGCTCACAACTCTCCAGAACACCTCTTTTTCCTCCTCCCCGGAGCCACGTTGGCCGAAGCCGTTCTTCTTGAGGAAGTCTTGGAGGCTGCTTGTGCACGACCTGAGAGGAGCCATGGAAGCACAGAGACACTTCGCAGCAGTGCGGCGAGGTTAAGTAAGCGCCCCGCTGATGAAGCTCGTCTTTGATCTTCTCCCAGACCTGCAAAGACAAAGGACATTCTGATTCTGAGTGGCATCCGATGATGCGGGCCTCCTGGAGATCTGTGGCCATCTGCTTTCGCTTCTGCCTCTGCTGCTCTTCGAACTCCTGAAACACAAGTTCAACTTGCTGAAGATGGAACCTCAAAGCGTTTGAAATTTGATGTGCGTTGCCATGCGGGACGAGAAGGCCTCCACTTGGTAGACCGTCATTGGGTTCACCTTCAGCACTTCAGGGGCTGCTGCATGCGACATCGATTGCCAGCTTCGACGGCCTCCAGTAGATTCCAGCTGCTGATCTTGACACATTCCCTGCGGCCTTAGTTTGAAACTCCCGACCAGGGCATCAAGGAAATAAAGCCGTCCGAGGCAGAAGAACACGATTGTCAGGCTATCCGCGGAGACAACAGGGATGGAATCAAACCACTCCGGGCTGCGGACAACGGAGCAGGGAGTCGCACAACGTTGGGTCCAGAGCGAAGAGGTGGGCGTTGAGCGTCCTGCGAATTGGCAAACCCGAACGGCACACAAAATGCCCTCCGGATGGAGGAGCTCGGGCATCAGGACTCCAGGGCCGATGGCCCGGCCAGTTCCTTCATAGTTTCTGTTGTTTGGAACTCCTCGGTCTGACGAGCTGCTCCCTGAGCTGCTCCCTTGTCACTTGTCAGGGTCTGAAGACTGGATCTTTCGTTGAGGTTTGCTTGGTCGCCACATTTACGCTGCAGTCTTCCTTCAGAGCGCAGACTTGTAAGCCACAGGCGCAAGTTCTGACTCTGTGCACTACGCTTGGAATTGTGGAGATGGCTGCCATGTCCTGGAGCACTTCTGCACGCGCTGATTGCCTGGCATGACATGTCCCCACACATGGCCATCAACTCGAAAGAGTTCCGACTCGTCGTGCAGGTTCACACTCTGATGTTGCTCTCTCACAGATATATCTAGCCGCATCTAGCCAAAGTCTTCGCATAGATGAGGCAAGTTGCGCATCGCGCTCTTCCAAACGGAAAAGAGCTTCCACCGCCTGAAAACAACGACAATGCCGTGTTCTCAACCCTTTCGAAACAAGTGCATTGAGGAATGAGCTGATACTTCTTGAAGAAGGGGATCTCGATTATCTTCCTTCCATCTCACATCTGATACAGCATGCCTGCCCGAAGACTGTGCAGTAGCGTTGCTTTGATAGCCCACAGCAGTCCTGTACATATCCTGGTCCCGCTGCCAATCAGCAAGGTCCTCACATCACAGGCGCAATGCTCATTTCCAGACAAGCCATGTCACCTCTTGATATCCGCTTGAAGTCCAGATTGAAGGCTCCGAGAGAGTGCATGGGTGTGTGTGTGTGTGTGAGTGTGTGTGTGTGTGAGTGAGTGAGTGAGTGAGTGAGTGAGTGAGTGTGCGTGCGTGCGTGCGTGCGTGCGTGCGTGCGTGCGTGCGTGCGTGCGTGCGTGCGTGCGTGCGTGCGTGGGCGGG